AAGCCCAGTTTTTCAGACTGGATTACGCATAAAACCTCTTAATTTTGATAAATCTGGATTGATAATTTTTGCCCGATTAAAATAAGTCCTCTATACTTCGGATGCGATGAAGGACTGAGTTGTAATATGGTGAAAATTGTTAAAATTTCAAGTGATTTTTGTGCACGATTACAATACTTTCTCTATACTTCGTATATACGAGAAAGTAAAAAGAACTATCCATGTGTAACATTCATTATAAAAGTGACATATAAAACAGTTTCCAGTAAACTAATGAACTATTAAGTATGGATTTATTCATGCGTGTTAATTTAGAGAAGTTTCACTTCTATTATTTTGCTGTATATTGATCGAGTACATTGATGTTTGCAAATAATTAACCCAGTTGGCTCAGGACAGGGCAGGGTTGAAATAAATATAGCATGGTTAATATGACATTATAATGTTGTGGTGATCCCATCAATGTTGACGTGATGAAAACAAGGTTGACTTGACCACGACAATGTTGACATAACACAACTACCTACCTAGTCGCTGATGAGTCCGGCAATTTTGTTCAGTTCCAGTTCAACACATTGTATCGTGATACTTAGGATGGTGGGGATAAGAGAATAGTTTAATTAATAATCGGCTTTCAATGATGACGTGTAACAAAGAAAGTAGCAGACTTTCATGGACCGTCATGTGTTGCTATCAGTGTCTTTAGCTATCCGATAAAATATCAGCGAAGGCTAAAGATATTTCGAACTTGCTCCAAGCGTTTTTTTTTCACGTGGTCTGAATGTAGTATCGCATTACGAACAACTCACACTAGGCAATATTTTTTACTTAGTTACGCAAACAGAGCCGAGGGCACATCTAACCCTCCCCCTCCGCCCTTCCCCTCAATCAATCAAGATTCATTCTAATGTAACGCACAGCATAATTACATTTTACAAGCATTTTTTTCTGGCAGTTGAAAGCTTCAATTTAACCTTTTGCTTATTGAGCTGTGTAGACGGGTTTTTTTTTTTTAAAGTAATATCTGGTAAGCAATTAAAACATCAGCTGTAATTAATATTGATTGGTTTATTGATTTATTCTCTATTGGAAACGACTCAATGCTGAGCTTTGTTGTGCATAATGATTACTCCCGATCGTTTATATGGCTTTTATTGTTTAGGAAAAATGTGAGGTGTATTGTTGCTGCGGTGAAAAAAAAAAAACATTTTTATTTTGTAACTGCAGACACACCTTACAAAGGGAAGGGTAGCTCTGGTGTGGCAGATGATATAAGGGTAAGGAATTGTATTGTAACATTTCACTTGACAACTGGATGTATTACACATTTAGAGTATTGGTATTTTTTTATCTAAACATCGGTAGCTCGTAGTGTAATTGTTAGTGGTGTGGTTTAATTTCAAAATAGAAAGTCTTTGCGAAATTCGTGTCTTAGAATAAAATCAATAAGTTCCCAATGGTTTGTTAATTTTTAAATGAGTTACAATGATAGCATAAGTTTAATTTTTATTTTGACTAGAACAAATGTGGTATTTCCGAATATTTATATAGCACTATGCATTTCTTATATATATATATATATATATATATATATATATATATATATATATATATATATATATATATATGCAGGTATGTATATTATATATATGCAGATGGGGGTTGGGAGTAGAGGAGGTATGCAGAGGAGTTTCCCGTAGTTATTATGTGCAGTGTTTCTTCCAGACTTTTTTCTTCGGGGGGGGCACTTAAAATCTTCGGGGGGGGGGGGGGGTAGACTTTTTTCGGGTGGGCGGATACTGTTAAAAGTATATATTTTCTATATAAATTATATAAATTTCATTTCGTTCGGGGGGGCGGTAACAATTTTTCGGGGGGGCTTAGCCCCCCCCCCCCCCCCCCCGAAGAGATGCCTGGAAGAAACTCTGATTATGTGTATGATACTTCTAATAGAGAAAATCAGACGATATAAAGTATTGAAATTCAAGTTGTTGTGTTACATCTATTTTAACGACTTCAGACTTAAAATAAGAACAAGAATATGCGGACTACTATTATCCTTTTCACAATCTGTAATATATGTATATCACAAGGTAACATTTCCTGTTTGTTGTTTAATTTATATTTGTTTGTTACAAAACGACATAAATTACATTTTTTTGGGTTAAAAAATTGATTATTATTATATGTTATTTTCTAAGATTTAATTTAAACATTTTAAAATAGTTAATCTTCATGTATCGAAAACCCGATTAATTGTATTGAATGTTTAAATTAACAAAGAGGATTATGTATATGTATTAAATACAAAAATGCATAACACTTTTTATATTTTCAATATCAGTCGCCTTCCTAAAACAAACCCAGTATAAAGTTGTTAATGACTCGAACGTCACCATGCTCAACATCAATGTAGAATTTGACCAAGTCAGCCATTTGTCTTGCGCCTCACGTTGTTCAAGTTCCAACAAAACGTGCTACAGCTACATCTACAACAAAACCAACAGGCACTGTAGTTTGGGCAAGTTAGCTTTTTTTAAAGCGTAGATGGTGTTTTTGTTTCACAATTTTACACATTAGCCCGGGGGAGTGCATATGTTTGACAAACTATGTTGAACAGATATGGGCTACCTCTGATGATGGACTTACCACCTGGTTACATAAACCCATAACGCTAGCTCCTTTCCTTCTTTTAGCATAAACCCCCCACCCCACACTGACACATCGACACGCACACCATGCATCACTAAATTATTTTGTTATTGTAGGATGTGTAGCCAGTGGCGTAGCGAGATCGGGTGTCACCCGGTGCGGCACTTAATGGTGTCACCCCCCCCCCCCCTCCCCCCCGAGGCGTTGCGACCCTTCCCGGGGACAAACTTGCAAGTTTTCGATTCGCACCCCCCCCCCCGCCCTTCAAACTTTCGATTTGCACCCCCCCTCAAGTATTTGATTTGCACCCCCACCCCCCCCCTCAAACTTTCGATTTGCACCCCCCCCCCCCCCACTCAAGTTTTTCTCTATATATTTTGCTCTTTTTTGCCTTGGTGTCACTCCACTAAATGGTGTCATCCGGTGCGGTACGCACCCCGCCCCCCCCCCCAATGTGTGTAGCAACAATTTAGTCAAATATGTTAATAATGTGTATGCAGTTTAAAAAGAATTGTGTGTTCGACTTACTAGGTTCCTGGCTGGTCCCACAGAAAACTTCAGACCAGAAGGTTCAGGGGAAAATCTACTCTAGTGGGAAGCTATGTAACACAAACAGAAACATAACGGTCCTGTCTGATGGTTCTATCTCAGATACTGACTTAATTTTTTGTGCTGCAGGTAGAATGCTCTCTCTATTTTTAATTTATTTTTTTGCATGCGTGTCGTTATTTTTTTTTTCATGTATTTTGACCACTTGACTGTATATCCGCGTGCCCGAATCGCACCCTGCCAGGGCACCGGAAGACGCACCTGATTATGTTAGTGAACAACTCGAATAGTTTATAGTATGCATAGACTATCGCATTGTATAAAATGAACATAGGCGCCATAGCGCTAATGAGATAACACAATGCGCCTAATTGCACCCTTGAGGCGTCGGGGGACGCGTCTGATTAGGTTTAGTGAAAGACTATAACGCCCTATCTTAGTCCATCACACTGTTTAATCTGAACGTAGGCGCCATAGCGCTCATGGAAAAGCCCGAGGCGCACCCTGAGAAATTGATATTTTTGTTCCGAAAAAACCTCAGCATACTCAACAACTTCCCTAGTTTCGTAACGATCAGATGAAAAGTGTGGCATTGCATAAAAGACAAACACACACACACACACACACACTTATGCACTCATGGAATTTTCGAGCACCCTACTTGGTCCCTCACCCCCCTCCTTCTTGCCGCTACAGTACACTTTGGAAGATCCTTCCACCCTTTTTTTAGCGTGATCCTACCTTTCCATTTTAACAAAAAAAATGGTAGATTCAAATCGATAAGGCTCTAAAACCCATGTTCATACAAGACTGAAACTTTGCATATGATTTAAACGTTGTACCATCTATAATACTCTTTTGTACATTTAGGAAAAATTTATGTTTTCTGTAACAACATTAATATTGTTGCTGATGTGATACTGTTGTTATTGTGTGTTTGTTCATCCAAGAATACGAGCAACAGTGCTTTATAACTTCAAACTTTATTTACATGGATCCAAGAGAAATAATAATAATATTCCACAGTAGAAAAATGACTATTACATTATAGTCTAGAACAAACTGACGTGGTGACATCTTACATCTTACTACACAATCACAGTCCAAGCACCCTTCGTTCACCTTGCGCTCCCCTTTTATACGGTCCATTCTCTCCCCTTACGTACATGAGCGATCTCACCCAAAAGCATGGAAAAAACATGACGAGTCGCTCAGACAGTCCTTCCGTTAGCCAGGTACTCTACATTCATGCAACTTCATGTAAAACACAATATAATAAACATACCCAACAATACAGTCTGTGACATTTTCGTAACACCACATCCTTCTTTATCTACATAGTTCTACGTTACAATTTGTATTTTAAAAAGGCATCCTAGCAATCAACACACACAAACCTTAACAATGGGCAGATTTGGACGATTAATCTAAATCTATAACCAGACTTTATTTTTCTTATTTTTAAATCAACATTATAGAGGTTTAAAGAGGTTTGCGTTTTCACATCTTTTCGTCGTTTGAATGGCATCCAGAACTACAAAAGGCAATTTAATATTATGTTTGTCTATAATTTAAAAACTATGAATTATATGAAACATGTTACATATTTATTTCCTTATATGTTGTGTCTGGTCTTAATTGCCATATATCTTCCTAAATTCTTATTTTGTTGTTAAGATCTTTTGTTTATCCTAATATCTAAGATGCATTGAACATATACTTAGAGCTACCAATATTTAGCTATTCCTTTCAAATAAACGCGTGTGCATTAAAACACATGTTTGTTTTTGTAATTAGACATGGATTCCAAAACCCAGCATGATTCATGCATTGGAGTAGGTAGCGATGATCCCCGACATGTGGTCACCTTAACATCTGGACTTCAGGTCATGTGTGACACAGTGACAGACGGTGGAGGATGGACCATTTTCCAAAGACGTGTTTCTGGGACTGTAGATTTTTACAGGAACTGGACTGAATACAGAATCGGATTTGGCGATTTCATTTCAGGTAATTTTTACCTGGGCAATGAGAACATTTATCTCTTAACTTCAAGCAAACAAACAGAGCTTAGAGTGGACATGATACTAAACGGCACGTACAATTTTGCCCAATATTCTAACTTTAGTCTCAACGCGGAATCAGATGCGTATAGACTAAATGTGGACGGATTTATGGGGAATGCGACGGACGTTCTAACAGTACAAAACGGGATGCAATTCTCGACAAATGACAGAGATAATGATAGAAGCAGCTCAAACTGTGCGTATCTCTTACACGGCGGTTGGTGGTACGACCGCTGTGGGACATCTAACCTAAACGGCGATTGGAACACAACATTGTTAAGATGGTCCAAAAATTTGCCTATAATATACAGCGAGATTAAAATAAGGCAGACCTATACATAGCTTACATTTTTGAAAAAAAAAAAAAAAAAAAAAAAAATATGTATATATATATATATATATATATATATATATATATATATATATATATATATATATATATATATATATATATTTATATATAAGTAAAACATATAATTAAATTAGAGTTATTTAATAATGTTGTTTTCAATTTTAAAATGTGTATTCAACTTTTTAAAACATTGTCTTAAATAAACAAGCATCAATGTACTATAGAAAATACGAACGCGCCGTAAGGTGCAAGTAATATCAGTGTTATAATAACAGTTTTGGCTCGTTTACAATATTGGTCATTGATAGTTTATCATATAACTCAGTCACCCAACTTTTGTATCACGACTTACAATAAGATAAGCAATTAAATACAATCAATCTTGTATCAATAAAATCTACTAAAATCTACTTAGCTTTCTTGGATTTAATAAATATATCCATTTTGGTCTACAAATTGTGATCTATTCAATAAACCAACTGTGTTAGCGTTATCATTGATCAGTGCAATACATTGATACGTTTTGTATTATAAATCCCAATTATTAATCACTAAATCAACCAAATGTTTTTACTAACTTGAGCGCATTATAAACAATTTTTTTTTTTTAATTTTACCCGAAGCGCTTTTTTTAACTTTGATAATCAACTGATTTATAGTAGTGTGATATGTCATTCCAAGTTTAAGGATACACCATTTATTATTATTATTATATTTTTTTAAATCACATTATCGCCTATTGAATTAATGTTTAAATTTTTTTTCATTCTAAAACCTTTTAAGCACCTATCAGCAAAATGTACGTATACTATGAAATCAGTATGTACAATTTACGAAGATGATATCCTTAAACAAAATGGTGTGGTATAAAATATTTTTAAGCATTAAAAATTAAAACTTTGGTATGCAATTTTCTATCTTTTCTTAAAGTTATCTGAAACAAAAGAGTCTAATAAATTGTTTGTAGCTTAAAGTAATAAATTACAAACTATATTTCTAAATGTAGCTGCTTTCTTTGTGTGCAGCAGATGTTTTAAATTTAAATGTTATTTTATTATATCGTCGATTTTCTTAGCTAATTTTGAAAAACTTGATTATGGAAAAGTTATATATTGTATTTTAAATGTCCGTATGCGTTTGTTACAATTTTCCATCCAACTCAATACATTATTTATTGTAGTCAATGTTGAAAAGTAATATTTTAGATTTAGCTCAGTCAGAAATGTTTTAAAAAGTCAATGCATGTGCACTCCATAAGTAGAAAACACAAGTGCACACACAATTAATTTTAAATTAAGAAGGTACAATCTATGAGATAGGTGTTAATTAGTTTATAAGTGATGATAATTTTAAATTTGACTTCATCTTTCTTACTATAATTATGTCATGTACATAGGTATTGTGGGTGTATATATATAGACGATAACAAACAGTAAAATTATAATAATAATATATAATAAATATATTCACACGCGTTATTTACATGAACATGGCATTATTTTTCAAATTTGAAACAATAGAAGAAATGTAACATTTGAGCTTGAAATGTAACGCTTATGCTTGAATTACAAACATTAATTATGGCTTTACACGTGTGTAAAATTTACTACCTTTTGTGTAATTTAGCTTTTGTTATTCATTAAGGAAGAATGAAAAAGTATTTTATAACAGTGTACTAACTTGGAAAACCTTGATTTGTATTTTTACGAGTTGTGTAATACCTGAAAGGGCATTATGCTTTTAACGTTACTGGATTGATTAATCAATACATATAGTTAATCATTGATTATTTTAGATATGACCAGTTTTAATTGCTGTGTATTTTGTTTTTACATAATACCACTTCCTTAAAATAAGTGTTATTATTTTAACATAACAATAAAAGCCTTTTTTAAATGACACACTAGTTAAACATTTGTTTATTTTTTAAATTTTCTAACTGCAATAGATTGAAAAGAATATGGCAACACATTGTTACCATTTACAAATAATGGATTGCCATCATTTCCAGTCTCACTTGCGGACAGCGGAAAAACAAATCCCCCCTCCAACTCTTTTTGTTTAGGATACTCAAAATTTTGGTGCACTACTTTATGTATCATACCGCATTTTCAGATGTTTCCTATTTTTTAAAAAAATGAAATCAGCAGAAATCTAGTCAGAATGCTCCTAAACCCACCCAGCTATGATGTGTATCTAACACATGTTAAAGAAAACAAAGGCAGTTGTGCATAGTGATGATCACACTATCCCTTCATGTGCCGAGGTCTCTGAAACAGATTAAATCTATTTCATTTGCCCAATGTTTTTTGGGCACGAACGGGTATAGATCAGGGGTCGGCAACCTGCGGCTCGCGAGCCGCATGCGGCTCTTTTGATATCAAGATGCGGCTCTCCAGCTCCTTGAACAAATACTAATAATCTTAATAAAAAAATAAAATACTTGAAATAAAAAAAATGTTATTTGCTCTTTAAAACCAGGGAAATTTTGAAAATTGTAACTTTTGGCTCTTCCGCTTCAAAAGGTTGCCGACCCCTGGTATAGATGATCGAAATGGCAGCCATGGCCATCTCCCTATACTTAGACCTATGCATATTCTGTTTTTTTCTCCTATATTTACCTAATTTTGCCCACTATACTCTTTCTAAAAACACTTAAATGGACCATGTTGAGTAGAAATACGAATTCATATGTACTTTTCCCATCCACTCCGGTTCTTTGAATTATCAACCACATTCACCCCTTCTACTTATCTCCAGGCGTTACAAACCAAGGGAAATAATCAAGTAAAATCTGGAACCAATCAGAATGCCAGAGTTGTCTCCTTTTATTTGCGTGTGTCCCCTAAACTTCAATAAGACAAAGACATTTTTTTTTTAAATTTTAATAGAGCTTCAAACGTTGCGACCACACAAGATTCAGTCACCAACACATGGCGGCTCTAACACACTTTTCATTGGAAATCGCAATATTAGTGTACGAGGGCATTGCTTTAGTGAAAAACACCTTAAGTGCACGACTAAGTTAATGGATTATTCAGAAAACTCAAGCGATGAATAATGTTTTGTGTACTTACTGTCAAACAGTGAAGACTTTTGTGTACTTACTGTCAAACAATGAAGACTTTTGTGTACTTACTGTCAAACAGTGAAGACTTTTGTGTACTTACTGTCAAACAGTGAAGACTTTTGTGTACTTACTGTCAAACAGTGAAGACTTTTGTGTACTCAAACAGTGAAGACTTTTGTGTACTCAAACAGTGAAGACAGTTGGGTGTACGATTTATATTTTATTGGCGAATGACACCATATACTTAAATGACGAGTAAGAGAGGGGGGGGGGAGTTTTGGTTCTTGTATGTTTTTAAAATAATTTAAGTCCGATTGATAAACAAGCTGTGGGCTTGTACTATTTCAACTTAAATTTTACAACTCTAAAAACATATAGGTATAATACATAGCGATATTTAATAATATTAATGACTATCTAAATTCCACAAAATGCCAAAATTATATATTTTTATGAATACACACAGTTCCTATGAACCATGTATATTTGCTTAGAGTATTTTTTTTTTACTTTTGATATAAAGTATTTCTTTTTATAAATCATAACAAACGCTGACCGTATCATCTCTTCATGTTTTTATCAAAGGGAAGTCAGCAATAAAGTGCACCATACGAAGGTAATGAAAAATAAAACGATTTAATTTACCAGCATTTGTCCACGGTGTCGACCATATACATCGGCATCTCTTGGAGCAGATGTCGGGGAGATGTATTACTCTATGCGGGGATAATATAACCTTTTAAAAATATATTTTTCTGTTACGTTGTTATACTTAATATTGATTAGAATCAGAATTAATTAGATTTCTACAGAAAATATGATCATCCCTTTATTTTAGAAGATAGCTTCCCTGAAGTTAGGCGTCACAATTGTCTGTTACTGTTCTCTGTACGTTTCTGTCCTGGTTCTTTTATATATATATATATATATATATATATATATATATATATATATATATATATATATATATATATATATATATATATTTATTTGTTTGTTTATTTATTTATACAATTAAATTAGTCATTGGACACTTGCTTGGTTTGAATTGTGGTGTTTATATAGGTGTCCGACTTGTGTAAAATTGGTGTTACTGCAGTTGTTTGCATTTGCTTAATATGGTGATGATGTACATTGTGTTACTATATGTGTTTACTTGATGTGGCTGGGCGTAGTGCTGGTCACACTCTCCCTTCATATGAAATAAGTGAACAATAATTCACTGGGAACATAGGCTTTAATGAAAGAAAGTTTACTGTAGTTTTATTTGATAACTTTTGACATACGGTGGCGCCAACGATAAATAGGTTTTATTTTACATTTTTGTCTTATATATTTTGTTTTTTAGACAAACTATGCTGAACTGTAAGACCAAATACAAATGTGTATGTAACCAGACGTGTGTTTGTACCAATCAATTTGTCGGTAGCAGGTCAAGGGTCACGTGAGATAAGCTGAACCAATCGCTGTCCAACACATAAACTTGTATAGACTAGCCTTCACGTTTTAGTTTACGATGCACGCCATGGTGCGTCTAGTACACAAACTTGTTAATTATGTCATCGATCCTTTGATGCACGTTAAAGGTATATCTATCCTCAATAGAAACAAACACATAGTTTAGCAAAATAGCGTTAGTTTAAGTTATCTTTATTTGTTCAAGAAAATTAACGAATTTTTTCTATTAATTGATTTTTCTATGATAGTCAATTGTTGAGTTTTGTGGGGTTTTTTATGTATGGCTTAGCAGTCTGTAAAAAGAATAGTTCGATTCAAATGTTTGACTTTGCGTGAATTGTCTCCCGAAAGTTTATAAAGTTACACGCTGGGTCGCTGGTATATTAAATGTGGTGATGTTGCTATATGTTAAGGACTTACAGACACCATGTTTATGTACATTCTAGACAAAAGAAAATAACAAACAAACGCTAAGTTTCTTTTCTTTCGGGCTAAGGTTATATAAAAATCGCCATACATAATTACATTTTAGAAACGAGCAAACAAAAGACGCCATTTTTGTTTACGTTTTAGGCAGAAGTAGATAACAGACTTCATGCGTGTTTATATTTTAGACAATAACAGATACAAGACGCCATATTTGATTACATTCTAGCAAAGAACAGATACCAGAAGCCGCTTAGGGCATGGTCGAGTTGGTAAAGCTCATGGTTGCTAAACCGAAAAGTCTCGAGTTCGAAGCCTGGGCAGATGAGGCTCGTTAGCTGGGGACAACCACTTTCCTAGCCCATCGGCTGCCTTGTAGTTTGTTCTTTGTTGGACAAAGGCTATGAAATTAAATCCAGAAAGAAAAGAAGGCTGAAATGAGAGTCAATGGCCACAATGTCGCATACAAAGTGGACATGTATAGTGAAGTGTGTTGGAGGGGATCCCTTCCAACACTAAAATTAAGAGCGAAGAAGAAGAAGAAGCCGTGTTTGTTTAGATATTAGACAAGAGAAGATAACTACATATTTTGCTCCCAGTGCAGGCAACTATAATTTAATCCATCAAATGTGATGCTAGAGTTAGTTCCAATGTGGAGATGGTTAAACATCCAATGCCCCAGTCTGTAGACCAGAGCTCCACTGCTACCTGGACAGGTGCTAGTTGTGTACGTGTACCTGGTCTGCCTACCTTCCCCCTGCTTGTGTAGCCAGTGACCTACAGAGACCTGCTTAGAACAGCCATGAGGATGTGACACTATAATGGTCAGCCTCTCCACATCTCTACGACTCTTGTATTTTTCATTTACTTTCTTATTTATGGTATAAAACCGCCCCACCATCTCCTCCAGTTGACCCGCTACGCCTATGACATGTGTCACACAATACAACAAACACAGATCTTGCTGAGTGTCTGCCTCACATACATCCCAACCATAAATGTTGACCACTGGACTTTCATCATCATCAAACCACAACCTACAGTTGGACTGTCTCGCCTCACTGGAATCAAAAATCACATGTCTGGACGTCAACACCTCCACCTTACACCAGACTTTACTGGGTGTGTCCGAGTGCTCATATTCAGGACAAGGACACGATCTGTAGTCCTCCATTCCCTTTGTAGACTCGGTCACCCTCAACACCCTCCCAGTCCCTGTCCTCAGTGAGTTCTGTCCCCTGGTGTTGCAGCAAGGATATGGATCTTTAGTGCCTGGTACAAACTCAGGTCTGTCTGGACTGGTGAATTGAACTGCTATCATGACCGTTAGGTCTGCCAGTGCTTTTGTAAAGCCATTTAGGTCGTTGTCTTGGTAACCAAAGCAAAGATAATTCACTGGTAAAAATTCTTCATGGCCAGGGTTTTTCTTGCAGTTTGCCAGGTGTGTTTGTAGATCTATCTCACCTTGACCTTCAAGACATTCTTGTACTTCATGGGTACCTGTCCATATTAAAAAAAATTGTAACTGACGTTTTAATTCGCGAGTAAACGTTGAAAAGCATAAACAGGTGAAATCAAATATGTACCACTTCCTACAGCTAAAACTAATCTGAATACAATTACTTAAACATCTGTGTAAGACCATTGATATTTTTAATGTCTTTACATAAAAGCGAAATACATTTACATCACCTGTAAAATATTTTGATAAGGATTCCTTACTGGCCATGCTGTTGTGAACTTCTACACGATCCAAGTTAATTACTGTAAAATAAAGGACATCTTTATGATTTGACACATTGAGGTTAAATAATAATATCAATAATAATAATAACAATAATCCTAATATATAAATCCCCACGTTCGCACATCTCTCTCTCTCTCTCTTTCTCTGTCCGCAAAAAATTTTCGCCGGACATCACGTCAGAATCGGCAGCGGTATATGGAGAACTTTTTACGGACTTTTGTTGAAAATAATATGTTAGATGTTTTATATGTATAACCACAATTTTACTTAAAGAAGAAAAATAAAAATTAAAGGCGTATTCGAATGTAGAGAAACAGTATTATTTATGCAACCGGAAAAGCATTAAAACATGTGAAAAAGAACGCATAAAACTGTGACGTCGCTATTGCTTATACATTAACTAATGACGTCATCTGCTGTGTTTTGAATAAAAAGAAATGAACTATTTCATTCAAATTTGATTTAGATCTACGTACACTATGAAATGTATACAATACAATTTTTCCGGCCTAAACTCATAAAATTTATTTTATGTATTTGGATTCTAGATCTAGACTAGATTCTAAATCTAAATCTAAATCTACGCAATAACTAGACTAGATCTAGACGTAGACGCTAAGATCTAGATTTAGACTCTAACTTCTCTAAAATCAATTCCAAAAATAAATTTCTATATTAGGACTAAACTATTTCAAGACTTATTTATTTTATACAAAATCTTTGTTTGGAACTGGCTAATTTGAGATAAAAAAACTAATTTGAAAGAATAGGCATATTCGCGTAAGTTAAGATTTTAAAATACGTGTTTCATTCTAAATAGCGGAGATGTTAGTGTACATTAAACCACGCAGGTGGTGCGGGTTCGAGACACACCAAGTCAACTTGGTTAATGTATTTTTTTTAATTATGCTCGGGCTAAACTTAAAAAAAAATTCTTTGTCGGGTGTCCGATAGGGCACTTCCCGGCGCCGCAGGCGCTTCAAATTTGGCAGGATCTTGCCTTGGGGCGACAGAACACGGGGGCCGGTTGGCCGAAAAGTCTACGATGTGGGGGTCAAAACTGACCTCGACTGACCGGTACCTTATATGAGCTATAAATTAAAAAAAAATGTCCACGGAGGAACCTCTTCATAACTCTTGAGGTCGTAGACCGACCCTCGGGCGAATTAATTAAGCATTCAAATTCTCAATGTTTTCGAAAGCCTAAGCGAAGCTGGGCAGCATGCCTAGTAATAATAATAATAATAATAATAATAATAATAATAATAATAATAATAATAATAATAATAATAATAATAATAATAATAATAGTAAGAATAATAATAATAATAATAATAATAATAATAAACAACAAAAAACCACCTGATAATAATTTGGCAGCTCGTATAGCAATGTCTGTATATTGTATATTGGTAATGATGATATGCTCATTCATTAGTGGTAGATATAAAAGTCATTTAATTTTTTACAGGAACAATTAGCCGATTTTATTGTTAAATTTTAAATAACACGTACATTTAAATGCTATTTTAATAACATTTATCTCCTTAAATTAATATATTAATGGATAATTTAATCATGAATAAAGTGAGTGTTGTGATGTGAGATCTGCACACGGTCGAATGACTTGAAGTGCAACGTAGGCAGACGATCCAATATAAACTATATCAGGACGGCATTGTTTATTACATCTTTAATGGCATACAATATACACGACTACATGGACGACGACAGACATGACGAAAACTTCCACACCCTCACACGACAAGACTAAGACTAACTTCAAATACTTTCCTTAACAACCATAACATATTCTTGCACGTTACATCCTTCTTTGCCTCATCAATTCAACATCTTTTATTAATATATCGCATTCCACTACAAACATACTCTCACTAGCTGCATCCCGTGCTCCGCCACGGTAAATCTTTTTTAAATGTACCAACTTGGGAACAGAACAAAACTAAACACAACATAAACGAACGCAAAAAAAAAAAAAAAAAAAAAAAAAAAAAAAAAAAAAAAAAAAAAAAAAAAACGAAAAAACAAACACAACACTCATAACATAAACACAATTTAAATGCAATCATAAAGGCATATTGCTCACAGTCTAGCCCGTAGCGCCAAATCGCGCCCTTTCCGGTGATTTGCACCCCCCTCAAACTTTCGATTTGCATCCCTTTCCCCCTCCCCCCCCCCGCCCTAAAACTTTCGATTTCCACCCCCCCCCCCTCCTCGCAAATTTTTTCCAACCCACTTTGGCGCCCCCTAAGGTCGGCACCCGGGGACATATGCCCCCCCCCCCCCCCATCGCTACGCCTCTCCTATAAAACCCGAAAGATAGAATAATAATTAGAAAACAGTATAAATAATAGGCAGTATTTAAAATATCCGTGTTTTACCTACAATATTTCACTTTATCCATTCACGCATTTTTTTCCAGTACTTTAAATTTTAAAAATTTACAATAGAGTTTCATAACTAAAACCATTGCGCACCTAATGAACGTGATGACGCGCCTATAATAGTGCTGAATAGTTGATTAAAAATTATAAGTAATAAATAGTAGGGCCTACATTCAGTGAATAAAATAAATAAAAGATTGCCTTTTATCAATCCATAATAATTATAATTTTCTAACAATAATTTCCTCTTACACATCCGAATAATTTGCATTCACATTTTGCTAATTATATTATTGCAACACTAATTCCTTCTATGACGAACGTATATTTGCATTCACATTTTTTATTAGCGTGAGTTTAATGTATTTTTAAATTACCTCCATTGTCAAAATTAGAAAAGAGTTAAATTAATTTGATTTTTCTACCCTGCTGTTATTATGTTATTAAAATGTATCCACTTTTTCTGGGAGCCTAAACGAAAATGATATTTGACATTAATCTTTTTAATACGTTTTAGCAGTTTGCGTGTATTTAATATTTCTTGACGTTATGCGAAAGAGTAAAAACCGTGGCAATTATAAAATAGCTCTATGCCGCTATATAAACAAACCTTACTTTAATACTTATAATAAGACACTGCGGTGCACTGAAAAGCACTGCGTGGTGGGAATGTTTACTTTTATGGTTCCAAAATCTATAGCGATGACGGAAGGAAGGACTGACACACTACCTAGCCGCTTATATTATAGATACCCATTCATTACACTAAAATACCATTCACAAAAGTGAGAAACACACTAATTAAATCCCTTACCTGTAACAGCAATGAAAACTTGTTCAAGGATATCGACTCAACGACGTGTCTATTTATAGTAGTGATAAGAGTTACCGCACACAGCACACAGCACGCCACTTCACGAGGTAAACAACACGGTAAAAGGGAGATAAGTATGGCCAGTAGTGTTTGAGTGTGTGGGAGGGGGGGGGGGGAGTACGTTACAATCATCTATCTGTGCAGAGGCGTAGCGAGGGCGGGGGTGCGGACCGTACCGGGTGACACCATTTAGGGGGTGACACCAAGGCAAACAATTGCAAAATGTAGGCTCTAGAAAACATCGTTACTATTAAGTCTGCAGTGAGTAAAGCTTCCACACATACATTTACCCGTATGTGGCATATATATTAAATATAAATAATCTTTGGATGTCATGACGTTATGGCGTATATATTTATGTTAAACTGAAATGATGAAATAATCAGAATTTGTATTTTATTACAATTAATTACAAATAAAACCTAAAAAAAGGTTGTATATCTATTAAGATATTTTAACTTCATCATAAGCTTATTTATATTTGTACTCCTAATTTAAATTTAAAAACAAATATACATAAATTAAGTCGGATTTAAACAGGTTCATGTAAGATACCCATTTATTTATTTTATTTTATTTTTTATATTTCTTTGTAAAATAAAACAAGTTATACAACTGCTCTTCGTGTATTTTGTCATGTTTTACCTTGTACAAGTCAATATATGTATTTGTTTACAGTGGTTTCTTCCAGGCATCTAATCGCCCCCCCCCCCCCGAAGAAAGTCTACGCCCCCCCCCTCCAAAGAGATGGAACTTATATAGTAAACATACTTTTAGTAGTGTACCCCCACCCACCCACCCCCCACCCCGGAAAATGTAGACCGCTCCCCCCCCCCTTCGAAAATAAAAATATCAAGTGCCCCGCCCCCCCCCCCCCCCCCCGGAGGAAAAAGTCTGCAAGAAACACAGTTTGTATAACACTTAGTTTTTTACACTAGACCTATCTGTTTGTTAAGTAGAATGCACATTCTAATTAATGACGCAGTTTATTGAAGTGTCGCTTTATGGTGTGTAGTCCATTAAACAGTGCCTGGTTTGTTTAGCTGCAGTTAGCCAGGAGATACACAATACATTCAAATAGACACATTTTAAAGGGGACAGACTCACATGTGATATTTTGTACACCACTTACGCAGAAACGGAGCAGTCTAAATCCGGTGTTCTGGATAAAGAGGGTTGGTTCAGTTTTTGTTTCTCAAGTACATCCTCTTTAAACAAAGGCTGGCTTTCTTTTTGATATTTCTTCTTAAAACTAAGTCCACCGTATATGGAGCTTAAGCAAATAGTATTATGTGCAATAGAAATTTCTGACGCTTGAATTTTTAGTTAACTTGCAACTCGATCTTTTATTTTATTCTTTTAATTTTTTAGATACCTGCAAATAAAACAAAACATAGTAACGTTTTCAAAACCGTTAAAAATATATCAAAAACATATGATCTAAGAAGATACACACATTAGGTGCCATTAATAATTTATATTTACACACTGTTAATTGTTCAGCAATCACATAAAAAAAAATAATAATTATAATATATTTAAAAAAAAACGCTTTTTGAAATGTATATTTAATACCACACGTTTTTATAAACAACATATTAACGCTGACTTGAGCCGTTCCTTTAGGTAGGGAGTAAAATATTTTAACATAAGCATACGCTGATACGTAAATGTAACAACGCACTTTATTATCTACGTTAACCTCGACAAAAAAAGCTTTAAAATATACGTATGTTAA